CCCCCATGCTCACCCGTGCCCCTCTCTCTGGTGCCCCACACTCCTCTGTCCCCATGTCCCCTCACTGTGCCCCCATGCTCACCAATGCCCCTCTCTCTGGTGCCCCACACTCCTCTGTCCCCGTGTCCCCTCACTGTGCCCTCTCTCGGGCAGGTGGGCCGGGCGGTGGCGGTGGCAGCCCTGGACATGGCAGATTGCAATCCCTGGCCTCGGATCGTGCTCTCGGAGCACACGTGCCTGGGTAACCTGCGTGCCTGGATGCTGAAACACGTGCGGGGGCTGCGCAGCACCAGCGGGGGCTCGCGGAGGAGAGGAGGTGCCAGGACCCCCCCCAGGAGCTCCACGTAAGGGCCGGCGGGGGCGAGCGCGGGAGCTGCAGGATAACGGCACTTAGAGATGATAAATGTCCCCAAGTGAGTCACCTGCCAGGGTCACCTGCYCTGGCCCTAGCCCTGCCAAGCTCCGGGAACACGCAGGTGTCGGTGCCTCTGCTCTGAGCCGTCAGCAGAGAGGGGCAAAGACTGAACTGCTTGGGGTTCACCTGCCCCAGGAACCTGGGGAGTGCTGCATCACCTTCAGCACTGGATGGGATGGGAGAAGCTGAGGGAGCTGGGGGGCTCAGCCTGGAGAAAAGGAGGCTCAGGGGGATCTTCTTCCTCTCCACAACTCCCTGACAGGAGGGTGGAGCAGGTGGTGGTTGGGCTCTGCTCCCAGAGAACGGGGACAGGACAGGGGGGAATGGCTTCACGTTGTGCCAGGAGAAGTTCAGGTTGGATATTGGGAACAATTTTTTCATGGAAAGGGCTGTTGGGCACAGAGTGCCCAGGGCARGGGTGSAATCTCCATCTCTGGAGGGRTTTAAAAGYTGTGTGCTTGTGGCACTTGGGGACATGGTGGCCTTGGCAGTGCTGGGGAATGGTTGGCATTTTCCACCCTCAGCAATTTCATGATTTGGGACTGGGGGTGAGGAAGTGGGAACCCTGAGACAACGCTGCTGGGACAGCAATGTACAGCACAGGGCACTGGGGCTGCAGCTCTCAGGGACAGCCCTGGTGACATCCTTGTCCCCAGCTGTTCACCAGCTCCTGAAGAAGTCCAGGGCTCTGCCAGATGTGGTGCCACACAGTCACGGGCTGTGACTGTGGGTGGGGGTGACAGGGGTGCCCCCTCCATGCCAGGCTGACCCTCATCTCTCACCCTGCAGTGGGCTGCCCACCTCAGCCTCTGACAACGCGCTGGCCCGTGCCAGGAGCTTCAGCAACGGCACCAGCGGCAGCGGGGGCAGCCAGCAGGACTCCCCACGGATCCGAGCCTCCCCCAGCTTCACCTTCGGCAGCTCCAGGCCCCCAGCGGTGGCCGTGGCCACCCAGAGCCCCCCAGATGGTGACAGCAGCCCAGCCCCAGGCAGAGGTAAGCCAGGCTGGGCACCCCTCACACGSCTGCTGTGGCGCCTGTCGAGCTGCTGTTCAGGAGCACGGCCCTGAGGGAGCTCAGTGCCACTTTGGCCCAGGCTGGGACACGGTGACAGTGGGTTTGTGTGGAACAGTGAGTGGCAGGAGCCCCTGTCCCCACCGGTGGGTCCTGCACAACAAGACCTGCAGTTTTACAGCCCAGTGAGCTCCTGCCCTATGGTCCTTCAGCCCTGGCTGGGCAGGAGCTGCTGCTGCTCCGCTGGCATGTGGGGGAYCCTGGGGACTGGGGCTGCAGGCAGATGATCCCCTCCAGTGCAGGGACCAAGGGGTTTCTGGAGAAGCCAACACACAAAACCTCTGCTCAACTTGCCACTGTTCCCAAAGCATTCCTGAGGCCAGCAGGGACACACCAAAGTGCCTTTCCCCTCTAGGCACTGGCTGGGTTGTGGTGACCTGGGCTGTCAGGGGACACCAGCGGTTTCCATCATGCACAGTCCCCTCTGCTGGGGGCTGATGTGCCACACTGGGGTGCCAAAGTCAGGTGAGACACTGGCTATGGCACCGTGAGGCAGGGGCTCGGGGCCACAGGGGACAGGCAGGGGCAGAGGAATCCCTGCAGCCCTGTGCTCCTCACACTGTGGGACTCAGCCCTTTTTGGAAGCTCCAAAGCCTCCCGGTGCCCAGATTGGGGGTGCAAGCCAGGGGTGGGTGTGTTCCTGGGTGCCCCTGGAGCTGTGCTTGTGTGGAGCTYTGCGTTCCTCTGTGTCCGTCGCGGTGTCCTCGGGGTTTGCTGCCCAGCCCTCTGTCATGACTGTGTCTTGTCTGCCATGAGAACATGGTGGGGAGGAAATAAAAGGCTGATGTTCTCATGGGCACGTTGTTCCGTCTGTTCCTTTGGCCGGGCCCACCTGAGGTGACCCCTGGCCCCATCCCTGGGGACAGTCAGGGGCATGACCAGGAACAGACTGTGTAAGTCGGAGGGGCAGAGTCTGCTCTGTGGGGTCTTTGGGATGGATTGGGTGGGGTGTCCTGTCTCCCATGGTCCCTGCTGGCACAGCCTCCTCCAGCAGAGTGAGTGCTCCAKGCACTGCAGCCTTGTGCTGCCTGACACCGGGACCAGGACCTGGCTGCTCCTCCCCTGCCCTGGCATCAGCTTGTCCTGCTCTTTGCCTCACCACCCCACACCTCTGCACTCCARCTGCTGCTGCTGCTCTCCTGTCACCTCCTCCCCCAGTGCCACCACTCTCCACCTGCGAGGGGCCAGCACTGTCAGCACCAGTGTCTGCACAGGGATTGCAGCCCAGGGGTGCTCTGACCCCGTGGCTTTTCCTTCCAAGTCCCACACTGGTGCCTTCATGCTGGCTGTGCCATCCCAGCCTCTGCCCTCCTGGGTGTGCTTGCAGCTGTGATGGGGTGGGGGGTGATGGCACAGCATGAACACCCCGTTGCCCTGGTCTTGTCCCACCCTTTCCATTCTTCCCCATGTCCCAYTCCAGCCTGGCCTCACACTGGAGAGCCCAGACCTGTGTTTGTGCTGGGGTGACACCCTGAACTGCTGTTGGCCTTTGCTGGCTGAGGTTGGTCACCAGATTGTGCTGTTTTAGTCCAGGTGAMACCACCTGAGACTTGCAGTACCTCCACTGGCAGCAGGAGTTTTGGCACATCCTGCCCTGCACAAGCTCCTGCTTTGTAGGGTCTGGCCCTGGCTTCACCCCRGTGGGCAACATGCCCCTCCTCCCTCACCTCACTTCTGCAGTGGGATGAAGAGAAAAGTGGCTTGGGACAACGACTGGTGAACAGAAACTGAGAGCAGAGCTGAGACAACTCAGATTTTCCTTCAGTGCTGTCCACTGCAGCCACGCCCCCAAACATTGTCCTTTTTCCCCCGCAGCTTCCCTGGCTCAGCAGCTGTTCCATGCTCCAGGACATACCCTGGTTCAGAGGGCATGGCTTACCAGCTCAGTGCTGGGTAAACCTGGCCACCAGTCACACCAGTGCCATGGGACATCAGGAATTTGACTGGAGCTGGGGGCAACCGTGCAGGACCACCCTGCACTGGCACTGCCAGCTGGGATTGAGTTCTGTGCCCATCACATCCTCCCACCAGCACTGGCCACTGCCAGGGTGACCCCTCGGTGTTGGGCTGTGCCATGGGGGCTGGCCCTGGCAGGGAGGGGACTCTGTGTGTGTCACTGCAGGGTACATTGTCACTGGGCCTCACCAATGCGCTCTGTGATGGTTCTGTGCCCAGGGTGGGCAGCTGTGACTCCACCATGGCACAGAGCCCCACGCCAACACGGGCTCAGCTCTGTCTGTTCTGTCACACAGGGACTCTGCCTGTGGGCACCCCAGCAGCGCTGAGCACTGGACCACTGGAAGGTGTGGAGGAGCCCCAGGGCATGGCACCACTGCAGGTACCAGGGGCACCAGCAGGGAGTGAACCTGGGGCACAGCAGGACCTGTGCCCTGGGAAGGGGCCCTTTTGGGGGGATACCTCTGGGGGGCTGCCCCAAAGACCYCTCGGGGGCTGGGAGCCAGGTTTTTCTGTCCCACATACCTTTCCTCAAGACAAAGGGAAATGCCAGGGGTAAAGACTTGGCACCGATCCTCCTCTGCCCTCTCCCCCAGGTGCTGCCAATGAAGCTGAACGCCCGGAGAGCCCCAGAGAAACCTGGGTAGGTGCTGCTGCCAGCTCTGGGGTGGGGTCAGCTCTGAGTCCGGGC